CAAGAGGCCCCCAAGAGGCCCCAAGAGGCTCCAAGAGGCCCCCAAGAGGCCCCACGAGGAGCCCGAACGACTCACACCAGGACGAGGGGCCCGAACGACTCACACCACGAAGAGCCCGAACGACTCACACCACAAGGAGGGGCCCGAACGACTCACACCAGGACGAGGCGCCCGAACGACTCACACCACGAGGAGCCCGAACGACTCACACCACGACGAAGGCCCCGAACGACTCACACCACGAGGAGCCCGAACGAGTCACACCAGGAGGAGGGGCCCGAACGACTCACACCAGGACGAGGGGCCCGAACAACTCACACCACGAGAAGCCCGAACGACTCACACCAGGACGAAGAGCCCGAACGACTCACACCACGAAGAGCCCGAACGACTCACACCAGGAAGAAGGGCCCGAACGACTCAGACCAGGACGAGAAACCCCAAACGACTCAAACCACGAGGAGCGCTTTCTCTCCCTCCTCCTTCGCCTCGTCCTTCTCCCGCTCCCCCCACAAGGAGGATGTACAAGGAGGCGGGAGGAAGGAGGAACAGGGGAGATATGCGGGGCCAAGCGGACACACGCCTGAAAAACACGACTGTCGGCATGCTTCGCGAGAGTTGCTGCTGTGAGATGGGCTGGTGGGGATACGCGAAGCGTAAAGAATTCGGGTGGAAACAAATCGAGATCCTCTGAGATCCGGCGGCTCCGGAGGATGTCTTGGGCGCCGCGGCCTCCTCAGAGCGTCCTCGGCCCCGTCCGCGACACATCGACCTTCTCGCCCATCGCTTGGACGTCCATTCCCCGTGCACTTGTCGGTTTCGTGCGTGTATCTGTTCGCAAGATGCCCAACAGGCTCCTCGATTAGAGGAAGAACACACGGCATAACAGTAAACTCTCGGCGGTCCGCGCCGATTTCTTGGATCTGCGTTGGGTCCCCTCCCTGGCGCGCGGAGCGCGCCAGGGCGGCGCCGGAGGCCCCAGCGGACTCGGAAGCCACCCCACAAAGGGGCTGGAATATGTGATGACGGACGATAGCACCGCATCACCGATGCACCAGTGACGTCGGAATGTAAAGAATCGTGCTCCGATCCGCAAGCAGGGAGGGCATCGCCCTTAGAGCAGCAAAACATGTGGCCTGCGATTTCTCTTGGAAGAAAACGATCCGAACTAGAAATACTCGTTGGGCTTCCCTGTCATACCGGCTGATGCAATACCCAATTCTTCTCGCTCTCCATTGACGGCCCACTAATGGCCCACAAATGTCCCGCCAATGGTCAACTAATGGCCCCACTGACGGCACCGCTACAGGCCCACGAAACCACTGGCCCACGAGTGAATTTGACCCACAAGTGGCCCACAACTGACCCACTGACCCCGCTCATGGCCCACCGATGATCTTGGAGTGGCTCGCTTCTCACCTTTCCCTCGAGCTGTCGCGGCTGCAAGGATCAGCGGCACATGATGAGGCAGTGGCCATTCACTGACTACCTACCAGACCACCCCAACCCAACCCGAAGACCCGAATTTCGGGTTGGGGGGGGTAAGGGTTCCACATGTGTTTTTTCCATGTTCCCCGACCCCCCCCCCCACTGGAAATCGAGGGTAAATCTGAGCCTTCGGGTTGGGTTGGGGTGGTTTGGTGGGTGGCCGTTCACGTGCCACTCGCCAGGCCCGACACTCCCGCGGGGAGGGGCCGTCTGCGCAGAGAGGGGAGCCCTCCGTGCGCAGCCATGCGCTCACCCGCGTGCCCGTGCCCGAGCCCGAGATGAAGGGGCCCTGGGACACACAAGTAAATACACACAAATAACAAGATTCCCCATGTTTTCCTATATTTTCTGGGTTTTTGTCTTCCCCCCCAATGCCCATAGTTTCCCATATTTTCTGGGGAATCGACGATTAATTGTGTCTGTGTGTTTTTTCCCCTCCTGACGAGAGCAGGCTCGGACCTGGGCCAGCAACGCATCCCTCAGGAGCAAGGAGACCCTCGGCCGGCCCGCAGAGATTGAACATCCCAGGGCACACCTCCCCGGGGTGCACGGCAACATCCAACGGGCACGCAGAACTTGTTCGGCGGTGGAGAAGCCTCCCCTTGTAGTACGCCTTTCCTTTACAGAATACGGCCTGGGACCGGAGCGGACGGACCTGGGCCCGGCAAAACGACGGCCGCGACGCCCCCTGCAGATCCGAAAACGGCCAATCCGCTAATCGACGTGTCAGGATCAGGAGGTCTGTCCACCCCCGACTTTTATGTAGGGGCCCTGGGACACACAAATGAATACACACACACACAAAGAACAGGATTCCCCACATTTTCCCAAATCTTCTGGATTTTTGTCTCCCACCCCAGTTTCCATATTTTCCCACGTTTTCTGGGGAATCGACGATTCATTGTGTCTGCGTGCTTCTTCCCCTGCTGATTTTTTTGAACGCCCGAAATGGGTACGGAAAAAATGGCACAATGCCCAACAACAAACGCTGTCCCAAACCAACAGCGGCCGCGGTTGGGCGGGCGGCCTCCTGTCTCGACTGGACACGGGCCCCGGCGGCGCGGACAGCGCGTCCTGTTCAAAAACGAACAGGAAGTGCTGTTGGGCTTCGTACCCACTCTTTCCTGACTACCTACCAGACCACCCCAACCCAACCCGAGGACCCGAATTTGACCCGAATTTCGGGTTGAGGGGGGTACGGGTTCCGTATGTGTTTTTTCAACGTTCCCAGACCCCCCCCCACTGGAAATGGAGGGCAAATCGAGGCCTTCGGGTTGGGTTGGGGTGGTTTGGTAGGTGGTGATTTCCGTGCCCACTTCGTTCGTGCCGAATTTTACCCTCCCCGAGCCGACCTCGCTCGACCACGCCTCGGCCCGACCGCACCGTGACGCGGGGCCCTTCACGGTGCGGCCCCCGCACGGCCGCTGGAGGCCCGCGTTGTGGCGCGAAAGCCGCGGGGCGTCGCAGGGGGGAGGAGGAGGAGGAGGAGGAGGAGGAGGAGGAGGAGGAGGAGGAGGAGGAGGAGGAGGAGGAGGAGGGAGGAGGAGGAGGAGGCGGAGGAGGAGGAGGAGGAGGAGGAGGAGGAGGAGGAGGAGGAGGAGGAGGAGGAGGAGGAGGAGGAGGAGGAGGAGGAGGAGGAGGAGGAGGAGGAGGAGAGGAGGAGGAGGAGGAGGAGGAGGAGGAGGAGGAGGAGGAGGAGGAGGAGGAGGAGGAGGAGGAGGAGGAGGAGGAGGAGGAGGAGGAGGAGGAGGAGGAGGAGGAGGAGGAGGAGGAGGAGGAGGAGGGAGGAGGAGGAGGAGGAGGAGGAGGAGGAGGAGGAGGGGCCCCCTCGGCCGCGCAAGGGCCGCGCGAGGTGCGGGGAAGCCGGGGGGGGGGCAGGCCACGGCCACGGCCGGCCCCTCTCCACTCGAAGGGGGCCCAGGGACACGCGAGCAAATGCAATGCACTTCTGCACCCTTTGCCGGGTTTTCGTCTCCCCCCCCCACTTCCCATGCTTTCTACCTCCCTGGGAGTCGACGATTGATTGTGTCTCTGTGTTGGGCGGTTTTCCTCCTCCCGATCCGCCGCGTGCAGCCCCTGACGCACCTCCCTGGATCCAGCGCAAGCGCGTCAGGTCGCCTCATGCCTTCCGAGTCCCAGGATGGCACTGCCCTGTCCACTACTTCCTCAACGCACGGTCGTACCTGGGAGAGAAGGGCATCATCCCTCAACAGCATGAGACCCTCCGCTGGCCAAAGCACCCCTAAACTAGCAGACCACTCGAGGGTACAGTCGGCCAGTATCATAAGGATGCGCGATAAGGATGCAAGGGCCTTGGACGCCCATTCCGAAACTCTTCCAGCTGGGCGCGGCGACCGAAAGTCGCCCAGGATGGGCCGAGGAGGCCAAGGGTACCCTCGGGAAGGTTGGCCGTCCTCATCATGCGCGTCGACTGTACCCGCCACCAAAATGCACAAGCGCACCCAGCAAGCACGAAGAACATTACACCAGAGAAAAACCCCAATCAATGGATGGCTTTCGCTGAGGAGATCGACAGGGAATCCGGAAGCCCCGGAACCCAAAACCCACCGAAATCGGCCCAGAACCAATCACCGGGAACCCGGGAACCCGGAACCGGGGACCCGGGAACCCAGCCTGCCCCCCAAATCGGCGGGAAACTTTCGCCAACTCTTTCACCCTCCGCTACGACCCCTTCAGTGCAAGCACTGATTGGAGAATGTACCCTCCCCGAGCCGACATCGACGCAGTGCTCGACTTCAGTACGGGCGCGGCCGCAAGAAACCCTCGCAAGAGACCCAGCCTTGAAGACCCGCGCGCGAGGTGCACTTGAGAAGGAAACCTGGAGCACCCTGAACGCAGCGGCTTCTTCAACGGCCGTGGGAAGTCACCGCGCAGCGCGCGGAGCGAAGAAACCCATGGTACCCTGACGAGACACGTATGGTTTCTTGATGCGCGCGTCCCTAGTGTACACACGCATCCCAGGATCCCCTACATCTTGGAACATTATCTTGCCTTTCATCGTCCCCATCCACCTCCCATGCTTTCCCATGCCTTCCTGGGGGATCGACGTCGATGTGTGTCAGTGTCTTCTCTCCCCCCCAAAGTTGTGCTCAACTCCTGACCCCCTTTCTTGTCTTCCGAGCGGGGACCCCCATCCGACAACACGCACCCACAGCCCTCTCCGGTCCCCCTATGGGTATGGGTGTGTGTGTGTGTTGCTGGTTCGTCAGGAACTGCAGGGGGCGCCCGGTATTTTGACTCCGGGGCGGCACTGAGCCCTGCCAGCCCCTCTCCCCGCTCCCCCCTCGCGCGTCGCTGCTCGCTCCCCCATCCCTCCTCGCCCACGCTTCCCCGACGGCTCCCCTCCGGCCCCGCGAGGCAGACGCAGTACGCCGCCCCTGAAGCACAGGAGGAGGAGGAGGAGGAGGAGGAGGAGGAGGAGGGAGGAGGAGGAGCAGACGGTGAAATCTTGATCAGCCAAGACATGGACAGGCTGCGGCTCGAGCCCTGACCTGGCGAAGGGACCCCACGTACTCCTGGATGCGGTGCAGCAGGCCGCTCTGCAGCAGGCCCGCCACAGCGTCGAGCTTGTCTTTCTCGAGGTCTTCGTGGTACAGCATGATCTTGGGGCCGTTTCGACTCACGACGCGTCGGTCTTACAAAGAGACACGCGTGCGTACTTGGAGCATCAAGCGTACCATCAAATTAGACTGCAAGGAAGACCCCCCATTTTTGCGGAGCAAGGATCGCATCGAAGGAGGGCACCAGCGGCACCAAATCCTTCCAAGAGCCACGTTGCCCCGGGCATGCAGGAAGACATGGGAAACGAGACGGAAGACACATGGGCACCCTTGATCTGGAACCGTCAACCTTCTACGTATCAAACTCGACTGCGCATCCCGTGGGCTGTACATCCCATGTCGATTATGTTCAAACAGGTGGCCATGTATTTCAGGCGCCGTCGGCCCAGGCCACAACACCAGCAGTGGCAAAGACGTCTGAAGATAAGCACGGGACGGAATATAACAACATGTTGCAAGGCAACCAATATCGGCTTGGCCTCCGCTCCCTGAGCTCTCGCTGCAGATCCCCAAACTGCCATGTGCAATTGCCAACGCCGTCCATGCTCTCTCCCCCCACCTTCAAAAGGAATTCCACTTCCGATGCTCTTAGGCATCACATCGCTCTCGATCCCCCCCCCCCCTCCTCCTTGCAACCCTGCCATTACCGCCATCCCCCCGCGAATGAGGGATACGGACAAATAAAGCGCCCGCATGCAACAGCAACGAAATGACGGGCCAACCCCGCGCAGTGACGCACGGCCTGGACGAGCGCAGGCAACTAGGAGCCTGACAGGGGCGCAGCAAGCGAAGGCGCAATCTCATCGGCAGACATACCTCGTGGCATCCACCGCGAGAGCAACACCGCGCTGGCAGTCGGCTTCCCGCGCAGGGGCGCCGGGCGATCCCCGCATGGCTGCCCCGGTGCCGCGAAGGCGGCCCGAGGGACGCCAGGGGCGGGCCCACGTCGGGCGCAAACAGTACCTCCAATGAAGGCTCACACTTTTGTGTCGGCGACGAGGCAGATGGGGGCACCGAAACGCGAATTGGCGAGCATGCAGGTGTGAAAAAAGGGCAAAGCAGGCGGCCGCGGGGGGGGGGGAAGGGAAGGACACTCAGAGGTGGAAGAGTTCTCACCTGAGTGTGCTGACGCTGAAACGTTTCACGTCGTTGAGACACATGTTTCTCATCAGCCCCATGCCACTAGCTATCTTCGGGTAGCCAGGCGGTCGGGGTGACCCGAGCAGCACAATAAACGTCGGTGCGGAGAATTGGGTAACAAGATGAAATAGGAAGGCGGATCTAGTAGATTGAGTCCAGGCCCCCCCAGATAATAGCAAAACACAGCAACTCGATTCTTGAAGTAGGAAAGCGCTTGAAGTATTTTGGGACCCCAGAGTCCCAGAAAACTTATGTTCAACGACTGGCGTGTAAACTCGAAAGGTGGGGGACAGGCAGCCGCCGACTCCGTGCGAGCGAGAGAGACCAAACTGAAGGGGTCCATGGACACACAAATAACAAGAGAAGTTCAAGGATGTCGTATATTTTCTCGTAGGTTATTGATGATCGTTTCCCCCCCCACACTTCCCATATTCCCAATATTATCCTGGGAGTCGGCAAGGATTTGTGTCTTTGTGTGTGAATGTGTGTATCCCTCCAGCCCAAATACCAAGGGGCAGGAAAACACACAGATGGACGGAGGAACGCGGACAGGCCGAGTGGCCCAGAAGAGGGAACGCACGCAGTTTAGGGAATTCGGCCTGCCTCTAGTCGCGGTCGTCATCGTCGTCGTACTGACAACATGTATTCCGATCCACGATGTATCCGTCTGCATCGATATACCTGCAGTGTTAGCGAGGCACACGTTACATCAGTCATGTTTGAACCTTCTCTTTTGAATACGCATCTGTTGAAACTGTTTGTATGTTAGTACCACGCCACGCGCGACGCTGCGGTGAAACCCGCAGCCCGACGCGACGATGGAACACCAGCAGGCCGGAGCTGACAGCGACCTGTCACTCCTGCGGGGGAGCCCATCCCAGTGTGCGCCACTACGTGGCCGAGTGCTGCTCCTTGGACGCTTTCCGCCAAGAGCTCAATTCCACGTACCACATTCCACCGGACTGGTGGTCACGCCAGCCGCGGGCTACAGTGAAGACGGGTTGGATTACATTCTCGGCTCACACGTCCCCGGCACGCAGAGCGGAGCTCCAAGTGGCTGTCTGCCGGATGGGGCTCGTTACCATGCCAAAGATGGCAGAGGATTGCGAGGCTTTGAACCAAGCCTAGGACTTTCGAGCGACTTCGTCCCGATGTTCTCTTGTGGCTTGTTGTTATTCCTCACCCTCTCCATTTTCACATTCCTCCAAATTCTAACTTTTGTTCAGTTGCTCCTGATGTACAGCTCGTGGGGTACCCATACCGCTTTTCCCTGGACCTCTCCCAGGCTGCGTTCTGACCAGAATTTTGAGGCGAATCCAACGGTGGCGACGAGGGCCTCCCAGGAGGCCCAAACAAAGGGAAATGGGCGAAGGTTCTCCTCCTCTGAAGCTTGTCTCGCTCCAGCTTGGAGCACCGACCATCGCCGCCCACGGGGCCGCCATAGCCTCCTTGTAGGGGGCCACATGCGAACCCTACCCCTACCCCCCATGATTTTTGAGGGGGAGGTTGGGGTTCACTTCGTTCGGGAGATCCCGAATAAAATGAACCCCACCCTCCCCCTCGGAAATCGTGGGGGGTAGGGGTAGGGTTCGCATTTGGCCCCCTATCCTTGGAGATCCTTGGCGTTCCCTCCCGAACTTCGACGCCATGACTGGTTTGACAGCGGGTGCCCCCCGAGATCTGGAGCCCTCCCCCGGGGACAGGATCCTCATTCCGAACGCCTCTTGGACGGCCAGGTTTAAGTCGGGCCTGTCCCCCTACGGGGGGGATTTTGGGCGAAAGGCTAAACATACCCCAAACATACTCCCAAATAGTCAAACAATGGCGGAGACGTAGTCCCCACATTGTTTTTTTTTTGACTATTTTTGAATCTCCCCCCTGCAGAGGGACAGGCCCGACTTCAGGCCAGGTCATCTATGGGCGGCGAGCGAGCAGGGGAAGTCGAGCAGGGGCGGACCTGCTCCGAAGGCTCCGGAAGTCCGCCGGCCTCCGGAGCAGCTCTCCACGCCTTCCCCGAAGGCACCGAGACGCCTGCAAGAAGGCGCGAGGGCTTCTGAGAAACCCCGCCGCCTTCTGAGAAGGCCGCCTCTCAAGGGGCCCTGGGACACACAATCAAATACACACACAACTACAAGGCTTCCCAATCTTTTCTTCCCATATTTTTGAGATGCTCGTCTTCCCCCCCACCTCCGAAGCTTCCCACATTTCCTGGGAGATCGACGACTCGTTGTGTCTGCGTGTGTGTTGTTTTACCTCCTGAATCTCCTTCCGGGGATGGACAGACCCCCCCTTAGCAAAACGTGGTTCAGCGAAAACGACCTGATGCCCAAGCCTGGCGGGCGCAAGCCTGGAAAATGACGGCCACGGCGCCCTCTCGAGAACCGAAAACGGACAATTCACGCATCGACGTGTCACTGTTGGGGGTTCTGTACACCCCCGATCCTTCTCGCTTGGCCCCCCTCGCTCGCCGTCGAGCCGGCCAGGTCACCCAACGCAGCACCCTCGCGCGCCGGCGTCGCCCCCCCCCCCCCCGGGGCAGAGCAGCCCGTGCGGCCCGGGCGGCGACGGGCGGGCGCCCTTTGCGCTCCTCGGGGGCGGCCTGGGCCCGCCAACGATCGGGCGGGCCAGCTCGCAGCCCCTGCCAGGGCAGAGACCAGCCGAACGAGACCAAGGCTCTGGGAGCAGATCGGCTCCCGAGAGCCCCCCTCCTCTGCCTCCTCCTGCTCCCTGCTCCTCCATGTCCTCCTCCTTCTGCTGCTTCTTCTTGTCCTCCTTCTCCTTCCCCTTCCTCTCTCCTCTTTCTCATTCCGCCTCTTCCTCCTTTTCCCTTCCGCTTTCTCCTCCCTCCTCCTCCTTCCTCAGTCTCCCAAACTCAACGATGTCTTTTTTTGTGTGGCGAGCCAAGGCCCCGATTATATAGGATGTTGTTTCTTTCTCCCCCACAAGACCAACAATTTGAAATGTCAAGCTCGGGGATATACGATGGGGGGGATCCCATCTAAGACGAAGCCAGGACGAGGATAGCATAGGGTACGGACAAATCGAGAATCTCTGCGATCCATCGGCTCTGAAAGACGTCTCGGACTCTGCGCCCTTCTCAAAGCGTTCCGGAACGCTCTGAGAGCGTTCCAAAACGCTCTGGAACGGATTGATCCTCGTCCCAGCCCCGTCCGACCATCCTCCATAACGGGTGCAGTCAAAATGTGTATTAAGGACGGGCGGTAAAGGCGCAAGACCCGTGGATGCCAAAGCTGGGATTTTTTGGGCTGCGGGCGACCAACACCCCAGGGACGCAAGGGTAGCCCAACCCAGGGAGATGCCAGTGAAAACGGCACAGGACGGGCCGCAGAGACAAGGACACGAAGGTACCCTAGATGAAGGCGCGCGTCCTTACTAGGCGCGTTGACCAGATCACCGCTCTTTTCTGAACTCGCTTGGTTCGGGGGAGCTGGGGGGTTGGGGGAAAGAATAGAAAAAACACGATGTCATGACGCAGTGGGCTCAGGGTAGGTTTAGGTCGGGCATGTACCCCTACAGGAAATTTGGACGAAAAATAAAATATGTACCAACAGTGCCCCCAAATGGTCAAACATAGTCAAAATATCGTCCCCAGACGATGTTTAGACTATTCTTGAATATTCCTCCTGTAGAGGGACAGGCACGACTTAAGGATAGGCTCCAGGACTTCCAGAGTATCTGGCGGCCCCATTTGTCACGGTGCCGGGTGGGAGCCCGTGCGAACAACAAGACCTCCCAGAGATCCGGGCCATCTCTGAAGTCTCGGAACGCGCCATTCTGACGACTCCTCGCCCCTCTTGAGGGATGAAAAAACGACCCCACCCTGGGTTACAAGAGCGTGGTCTGTAAACCTCCTGGGAACCCCCCTAAAGCCTAGAGCCGCCAGGACGCGGCACATCACGCAGGGATTACCCTGCCAAACCAGAGGAGCTTCAGTCGGGGATGGACAGACCCCCCTTTAGCAAAACGTGGTTTAGTGAAAACGACCTGATGCCCAAGCCTGGCGGGCGCAAGCCTGGAAAATGACGGCCACAGCGCCCTCTCGAGAACCGAAAACGGACAATTCACGAATCGACGTGTCACTGTTGGGGGTTCTGTCCAGCCCCGATTCAGCGCACAACGCCTCGTAAACCAGGGTAGGGGCGTTTCCTATTGGGCGCCCGAGTTATCCGGGGTAACTCGGGTCCGGGGTAACTCGGGTTTGGACTCCCGAAAAACGAACCCGAGTTAGCCCTGACCCGAGTTACCCCTGATGATTTTGGGGCTCTGGACGCCCGAAATATCCGGGGTAACTCGGGTCCGGGATAACTCGGGCTCGGATTCCCGAAAAACGAACCCGAGTTAGCCCTGACCCGAACTACCCCTGATGATTTTGGGGCTCTGGACGCCCGAAATACCCGGGGTGACTCGGGCCCGGGATAACTCGGGCTTGGAGTCCCGAAAAAACGAACCCGAGTGATCCCTGACCCGAGTTACCCCTGATGATTCGGGGCTCTGAGGTAGGGGCGTTTCCTATGCCCTCGACCCTCGGATAACGTCGCCCGCGAGGGCTCTCCGCTCCCCTCGGGGCCAGCTGCGCGGCCTCGGGAGGCGGCCCGCGCGAGCACGCCGTCGCTCGGACGTCCACTCCCCGCAGATCCCACCAGCCCTTTGGGCGTGAGTGGTTTAGGGAGCCCGCTCTGCTCTCAACCCCCTTCTTCCCCTTCGGGGAGGGGTTTACCCCTCCCCCTCCCCCCTCCCCCTGGGCCTGGAGAGGTCCTTTCGCGGGTCGTTGGACGGGTCTTTTTCGACTCCTGGGAGGGCTAAAATTCGACACCCCTCACGAGGATCGTGGCCCCGACGGGGGGAGGGAGAAAAATGCTCGCCTCTTCTTTGAAGCGAAAATCATTGATTTTACTAAGGTTTTGGCCCCATTTTGGCCTTCTGCGGGGGCAGCGCTAATTAAAGCTCCCCTCTTCTTTGACGCCAAACTCATTGATTTTACTAAGGTTTTGGCCCCAGTTTTGCCTTCTGAGGGGGCAGCGCTAATTGAAGCTCCCCTCTTCTTTGATCGATTTCCTCCAAGATGGCCCCAAGAAGCGCCCAGGAGGCACCAAGAGGCCCCAAGATGGCCCCAAGATGGCCCCAAGAGGCCCCCAGGAGGCCCCCAAGAGGATCCCAAACGGCCCCAAAGAGGCCCCCCCGAGGCACCCAAGACGCCGAAAAGCCCCTCAGGACGACCCTCTACTCGCCTGGCCGTCGTTTCTGGACGGGCTGGTGGGGATACGCGAAGCGTAAAGAATTCTTCGATTTCGTGGGTCGGAGGAGGAGGAGGAGGAGGAGGAGGAGGAGGAGGAGGATGCGGAGGATGCGGAGGAGGAGGAGGAGGAGGAGAGGAGGAGGAGGAGGAGGAGGAGCGGATGCGGATGCGCGGATGCGGATGCGGATGCGGATGCGGATGCGGATGCGGATGATGAGGAGGAGGAGGAGGCGGAGGAGGAGAGAGGAGGAGGAGGAGAGGAGGGAGGGTGGGGAGGAGGGGGGATGAGGAGGAGGGAGGAGGAGGGAGGAGGAGGGAGGAGGAGGAGGAGTGGAGGAGGGGGGGGGGCATAGGTGCGCTCGCGTCATATCTGACGTCCTACCCCTCCCTCCCATCCCTTACCATGGCGCTGATTTTCTCTATCCGCGGACGCGTGTCGTAGCGGACCTGTGGCTCCGCGCGCGCGTGCGTAGTGGGTGGTGGTGCACGTGCGTGCGTGCGTGCGTGTGTGCGTGGTTGTCGTGGTGGTGGTGGTGGTGGTGGTGGTGGTGGTAGTGGTGGTGGTGGTGGTGTGTGGTGGTGATGATGGTGGGGGTGGTGCTGGTGGTGGTGGTGATGTGCTGTGTGGTGGTGGGTACTGGTGCTGGTGCTGGTGGTGGTTGTGGTGGTGGTGGTGGTGGGTGGTGGTGGTGGTGGTGGTGGCGGTGCGGCGCGGTGGTGGCGGGCGGATGGGCGCGCGAGAAAAAGGCCCGCGCTGGGGCGAGAACGCCATCCTGAACGACGGAAGCCAAACACCGATCCGAAAATGAGGCCCACGCTGCAGCGGGAGCACGATTCGGAACGATTCGGGAGCAGAAATGAGGCCGGCGCCTCAGCGAGAGCAGCATTTTGTGAAAAAATGACGCCGGCGCCTCAGCGAGAGTCGTTTCCCAGGATTTCCCGGGCATCCTGTGTGTAAACAAACAGTACGCGAAGGGTGCGCGGCCATCACCCGGACGCCATCAGGGGAAGAGGGAGAGTATATTCATATTGAGTAATTGTAGAGGAGGGGGGAGGGAGAGGGAGGAGGGAGGGGGGAGGAGGGAGGAGGGGGGAGGGGGGAGGGAGGAGGGAGGAGGGAGCAGAGACAAAGAGCACGTGTGCGGGAGGCACCCCTCCCAGAGCGGCCAGGCTCCTTCTGGCAGGTCTCGCGGAGGGCCTCTGCGCCGCCCACGGAGCAGAGGGCGTCGAAGGCCAGGTGCGACAAGCTCTCGTGCTGTATGTTCTTCACCTGGACGCCCCTCTCCCCAGACCCAGTCAGGGCGTTTTGCTTCATCATGCCCTCGACGACGAGGTTGAGTAGGAAGACGAGGGCGAGCAGAAGGGACAGGAGGAGGCGGCGAGGAGGAGGAGGCAGAGGAGGAATAAGACAAGGGCGAGGATGATGGCGAGAAAGAGGGGAATGGGCAGAGGCAGGGTGGAGGAGAAGAGGCCCATCAAAGTTCGCGCTCCCGAAGCCGCAACCCCTGCTTTGCGTCCGTCCCCGAAGCCGTAATCGCTTGCAGATAGCGATGAGGTCGCCCTTTCGGCGCGAACAACAACGTGGTACATTCCTTGCAAATTTTGGCGCGCTCGCGCTCCCGAGGACACAACCGTTTCAAACCACCTGGGGCAAGGTTGCCCTTTCGAAACCACAATGCCTTTCAAATCACGGCGCGCTCGCGTTCCCGAGGCCATTGCCGCGCGCTCGCGTTTCCGAAGCCTCAATATCTTGCAACCCATGCCGTACTCGGGCTCTCGAGGTAGCACATCTGTGCATAGTGCGGCGATGTTAGATAAGGATATCCTGCGCATTGGTTGTGCATTGGCCTACGGTAGGCCTATGCATAGCCTGCGCATAGGCCTACAAGTGCTTCGCCCGATAGGCCCTGCAATACCATATACGTAGGCCTATTCCTCCTCTGCCTGCCCTCGTCTTCCTACTCGACCTCGTCGTCGAGGGCATGATGAAGCAAAACACCCTGACTTGGCCCTCCCAGTTCTCGAACAGTGTTGGCAGAAGCGGAGCCTCCACGAGTTTGATACTGAGCTTACTTCGTCGCCCCTGCTGCTGGCCGCTGGGAAAAGAGAGGACGGAACATAACGACTAAACAATCAGAAGCATGTGCCTACGCAACGCGGCGGCGGGTGTACGCAAAAGCTGCCGGACAAGCATCATACAAACGATCTGATCGGTCCGTTCGGCGCCGTGGGCCTGGCTGGGCCTGGGTCCTCAGACGACGCGGGCGTAGTCTTCCAAGAGAAATGGAGCCGACCTTTGCAGGGTGGCACCCGGGACACCACCACGAGATCAGCCTCGTTGTGACAGTAGGGGCTCGACAACAGGGAAACTTCCACAAGACACTCAACCCTAATACCCCAAGGCGTGCATTGGTTTTTGGTGAGGGAACGTCGCGCTTTCCATGGCAACCATCATCGAAGCCCAAGAAGCCCCGGGCACCCTGAAGGCAAGCGGGGTGTTTCTTGGCATGGGTGTCCACTGTGACCCCGCGTGCTGTTTGACTGCTGTCGCGAGGGGGGGGTCGGGGCGGCCTTAGGCTGTCTGGGAAGCGTGCCGAAGGGAGGCCCAACAAATTCCAGTTGGCGATCGAAGCAAGACCACGGCTACGCGGGCTATGAACACGAGCCCCGTCGCGGGCTACGAACGCGAGATCCCAAGGCCCCATCGAACTATACCCTGCACGAGCGCCATTCCAAGGTGGAGAGCCCAGGCACGAAGACTGCAAGGGTGCTCATCCAGAACTAAAGGTTGCTATGAACCTTCATGCCGAAACCTGTCGGCGCACACTGGGTGGTCCACACTGGCCCCGAGAACTTCAGGAGGGAGCCCTGCAAGGCTGTGGTCCTCTAGTTTTACTGCGGACCGCGTAGCCCAGTCTCATGTGAGCCGCAGAGCCATGCACAGAGGTATGCAGACCACTGTGCCCGGAACCTGCTTAGTGCAAATCCGCCGACCCCCGCTTACCAAGGGTGAACGGGCGTGTGATGTGATTGGGTGTCCCCCTCCACAATTACACAATATGAATGATCATATCCTCTCCCCTGACTCTGTCCAAAGTCTCCCCCGTCCTCTCAGCGAACTGTTTCCTATACACAAGATTTCATGACTTGCTGTTGTTTCCCATGCTGTTTCAATCCGGTCGTTCCTGGTTCTTCCACAATGGTGTTCCCGCTGCAGCTCCGCCCTCATTTCCGCGCCTCGGTCGTTCGAAATCGTGCTCCCGCTGCAGCGCTGGTCTCGTTCCCGCGCCTCCGGGCGGCACTTGGCATTCGAAAGCTCACACACCGGGCAAGCACAGTTGCGGAGGACATGGAGCTAGCATTCCAGACAGGCCCTGTCCTCTCGTGGACGGGCCGCTTACCCTCCAAGCCATCCAGTGCCATGCCACGACATGCAATGCGATGCTGTAATGTGCACCGCTGTGCGATACCATGCTTTGCGTTGCTATACTTTGTGATGCAATGCTGCACTACGCAATACCACGCCATGCTCTGACATGCTATGCTCTGCCGTGCTCTTCTCCGTCATGCTTTTCCATCCATCGCGTACCCTCTTGGGATCATTGCCCTGCTCGACATCCGACTCTGCGAGTACATAGGAGATCTACGCCATGGTAAGGGATGGGAGGAAGGGGTAGGACGTCAGGTGTGACGCTAGCGCGCCTAGCTTGCCCTGTCGCCCTCTCCTGGGGTCCAAAATCCAATTCTGGGGGAGGCGGGGACGAGCTCGTCAGCGAACCCCTGGGACTTCTGGATCCTCCCAACAGCTCCAAGACGGCCCCAGAGCGCCCAGACAAAACGCCCCCAGAGTCCAAGAGAGGGTAGCCCGTCGACGGTCCAAGATGGATTCACGACAGACCACGAGGCTCCCAAAACGGCCCAAGAGCGTTACCAGAGGCTCGCAGAGAAGGCCCCGAGAGGGCACAATCGCCCCTTCCCCTTTGGAAAACGCATAACTGTTTCAGCACAATCGCCTTGTTCGTCGTCAGAGCGTGTACAGCGGCCCGAGGTGTCTCGAAAATCGCCAGAAGACGGTCCACGAGATCCCCAAAAGACCACCACGAAGGCCCACGCGGGCCCTAAGACGGCCCCAAGTACCCCCAGGACGGCCCAAGAGAGTCCCAGGAGGGCACCAAACAAACTTAAGACAAGGAATACGAACTGACATGTCGAGCCTTTCCCCTAAAGATGGCCCCCAAAGTCCCCCAGAGGCCACAAAGGCGCCCCCAACAGTCCCCAAGAGGCCTCCAAGACGTCCACCAGAAGCCCCCAAGAAGCCCCCAAGAGGCATCAAAACGCCTCCCGGAAGCCCCCGAATAGCCACGTGACCTTATCCTCGTCCTGCCCCTCATTATCTTCTCCTCCTCCTCCTCCTCCTCCTCCTCATCCCCCTCCTCCTCCGCTTCATTATTCGCATTCTCTCTCATTCTCCACCTCCTCCTCCTCCTCCTCCTCCTCCTCCCCCTCCTCCCTCCCATGCACCCAACAGCTCTCCAAAAGGCTACTGAGAGGCATCCCAAGAGACCCTCACACTGGAGAACTCCAACCAACCCTCCAGCGGCCCCGTGCAATAGCCCAACAAACCACCCCTGCTAGCTTCGAAGAAGCCCGCAAACATTACCATGACAAGCCTCATCCTCCTCCTGCCCCTCATTCTCCGCTCTTCGTCCCAACAGACCCCCCCTTGCTAGCTTCGAAGAAGCCTCCGAACAGCGCCGTGCCATCATTCTCTTCTCCTCGTCTTCCCCCTCCTCCTCCTCTTCCCCCTCCTCCTCCCCCTCAACCTCCCTCTCCTCCTCCTCCTCCCTCCTTTTCCTCCTCCCTCTCCTCCCCCTCCCCCTCCTCCTCCTCCTCCTCCTCCTCCTCCTCTTCCTCCTTACCCTCCTCCTCCTCCTCCTCCTCCTCCTCCTCCTCCTCCTCCTCCTCCCCCTCCTCCTGATCCACCTGTGCCCCCACCTGCAAACTGCAGCTTATTCCACGAGCGGCGCAGGCTCTCTCTCTCTCTCTCTCTCTCTGGGGGCCGGCGGCAAGGCGTAAGCCAATTGTCCGAAAGTGGCGCATGTTCCATGTTCAGAAGTGGCGGACAGGACAAAAGGTTTCAGCGCAGAGCTCCTATCGCCGTCAGCAGAGAATCGCCGACGCTATCAAGCCAACGACGCGATTCCAACAGACGTCATGGAAATTTTAGGATCGTCCACGTACGCAGACTTCTGGAGCTCCGTATACGTCGCGCACCCATCAGGAGGACTGATGACGTCTTCATGGTCGTCCTCCCCCAACAGACCTCCGACGGCAAAGCCTGCTCGCCCTAAGTGCTTCACGTACACGTTCAGATACAGGAAACCGCTGCCAGTGTGTCCACGAACGACTTTTAACTGAACTGGGCCGAATGAGAGCCACTCCGGGGTCTCGGCTGAACTTTGCGAAACGCTGTAGTGATACCCTCCAACTTGTTTGACCTCGGCCCATGCCCCTGTAACGTTCACCGCTTGGAAGTACATGTCCGCACAATGCCCACCCAATCGGCGCGCGTCGGCCTGCAACCGAAGCAATGCGCTGTCAGCGCTCATTCCACGAGGGATGTTTATCAGAACGTGAATGCCCGCCTTCATCAGATCGAACCGCTCGCCATGAACGTTTTGGAGGTGGGGGTCGCCAGTGGCAGCCACGCCTCCAGCGGACCCGGCTGCGGGAGCCGTGGGGGGAAACGTCGGCTGCGGCGTCGGCCAACCCTGGGGATACGTCGGGCTGGGCGTCGGGCTGGGCGTCGGGAAGGTCGTCGGGTATGCTGTGGGGGAGGCTGTCGGGCTGGGCGTCGGGCTGGGCGTCGGGAAAAGCGTCGGGAAGGCCGTCGGGAACGGCGTCGGGTAGGCCGTCGGGAAAGGCGTCGGGTAGGGCGTCGGGTAGGGCGTCGGGAACGGCGTCGGGTAGGCCGTCGGGAATGGCGTGGGTAGGCCGTCGGGAAAGGCGTCGGGTAGGGCGTCGGGAACGGCGTCGGGTAGGGCATCGGGAAAGGTGTTGGGTAGGGCGTCGGGTTGGGTGTCGCCCCCCCGAAGTTGTACCGATAAGCTCCGTGCTGCGAGCAACCTCCGATTTTGGGCTACCCTTTATGGTAGGGCAAAAAAATCCGCTTGCCGAACCGCCAGGATAGTACCACGAACTCCCACCACCCGTTTGGTGACTGTAATCAATGGTGCTGCCGCTGCTGTAAACCTGCCAGCCTGAGTTCCCATTCACACCATTGGTGCAATCGATAGCGAAACCACCAGTCGTGCACATAGTTCCCTCCTGGTCGTTACCAGAGATTGTCAAGTAATTTCCATCAGGGGTGAACGTGACAGTCTTGGTTGCCCCCCCCAATCGTTCCAATTTCCGCTGGTGCTGAGGGCAGTGCTGCCCAAATATACACCGTATACAAAGTTGTCGATTGTAAAGTAGCACGTGATGGAACTCTTGTTCGTCACAAGCTGCGTCTGGCCCACCGCGGCCAACTGCATAAGGCTGGAATCGACGTCATCCTCATGTGCCATGGCGGCTACGAGGAGCGCGAAGGCGAGCTTCACTGGCGCGATCATGAGTCCGTTCCGAACTTGTATGGAAATAGGCGCTGCGGTGGCCAAAGGATGTGTGTCCTGTACTGCTTCCCCTGATGGAAAACAGCTCGAGCCCAAGATGGCCGTGGGCCAACGCAAGTGTCCGCTATGGGCAAATCAAAGTGTACTTTCGTTGGCTTCGGCTAGCTCTGCGCTGGCGGTCCCTTCGGGGCAGCAAGGAGCATTTAACAAGAGAACAAGTAGCGGCCCTTCGGGGCAGCTATGAAACGCACTCCGAAGAACGCAAAGAGCTGGAAAGGAACAGATGTGCTTCGTACAGACACACCTTCACGAGATCAGCCTCGTTGTGACAATAGGGGCTCGACACCAGGGAAACTTCCACAAGAAACTCCACCCTAATACCCCAAGGCGTGCATTGGTTTTTGGTGAGGGAACGTCGCGCTTTCCATGGCAAACATCATCGACGCCCAAGAAGCCCGGGGCACCCTGGAGGCAAGCGGGGTGTTTCTTGGCATGGGTTTCCACTGTGACCCCGCGTGCTGCTTGACTGCTGTCGCGAGGGGGGGGGGTCGGGGCGGCCTTGGGCAGTCTAGGAAGCGCGCCGAAGGGAGGCCCGACAAATTCCAGTGGGCGATCGAAGCAAGACCACCAAGACGCGGGCTACGAGCACGAGCCCCTTCGCCGAGATCCCAAGGCCCCATCGAACTATACCCTGCACGAGCGCCATTCCAAGGTGGAGACCCCAGGCACGAAGACTGTAAGGGTGTGCTCATCCAGAACTAAGGGTTGCTCTGAACGTTCGTGCCGAAACCTGTCGGCGGTGTCACACTGGGTGGTCCACACTGGCCCCGAGAACTTCAGGAGGGAGCCCTGCAAGGCTGTGGTCCTCTAGCTTTACTGCGGACCGCGTAGCCCAGTCTCATGCGAGCCGCAGAGCCATGCACAGAGGTATGCAGACCATTGTGCCCGGAACCTGCTTAGTGCAAATCCGCCGACCCCCGCTTACCGGGGGTGAACGGGAGTGTGAGGTGATTGGGTGTCCCCCATCCACAATTACACAATATGAATGATAATCCCCTCTCTCCCCTGACTCTGTCCAGAGTCTTCCCCGTCCTCTCCGCGAACTGTTTCCTACACGCAAGATTTCATGACTTGCTGTTGCTTCCTATGTTGCTTCAATCCGGTCGTTCCTGGTTCTTCCACAATGGTGTTCCCGCTGCAGCGCCGCCCTCATTTCCGCGCCTCGGTCGTTCGAAATCGTGCTCCCGCTGCAGCGCTGGTCTCGTTCCCGCGCCTCCGGGCGGCACTTGGCATTCGAAAGCTCACACACCGGGCAAGCACAGTTGCGGAGGACATAGAGCTGGCATTCCAGACAGGCCCTGTCCTCTCGTAGATGGGCCGCTTACCCTCCAAATCATCCAGTGTCATGCCACGGCATGCAATGCGATGCTGTAATGTGCACCGCTGTGCGATACCATGGTTTGCGTTGTTATACTTTGTGATGCAATGCTGCACTACGCAATGCCACGTCATGCTCTGACATGCTATGCTCTGCCGCGTTTTCCGCCATGCATTTCCATCCATCGCGTACCATCTTGGGATCATTGCCCTGCTCGACATCCGACTCTGCGAGTAGATAGGAGGTCTACGCCATGGTAAGGGATGGGAGGGAGGGTTACGACGTCAGGTGTGACGCTAGCGCACCTAGCTTGCCCTGTCGCCCTCTCCTGGGGTCCAACATCCAATTCTGGGGGGGGCGGGGACGAGCTCGTCAGCGAACCCCTGGGACTTCTGGATCCTCCCAACAGCTCCAAGACGGCCCCAGAGCGCCCAGACAAAACGCCCCCAGAGTCCAAGAGAGGGTAGCCCGTCGACGGTCCAAGATGGTTTCACGACAGACCACGAGGCTCCCAAGACGGCCCAAGAGCGTTACCAGAGGCTCGCAGAGAAGGCCCCGAGAGGGCACAATCGCCCCTTCCCCTTTGGAAAACGTATGACTGTTTTAGCACACTCGCCTTGTTCGTCTTCAGAGCATGTACAGCGGCCCGAGGGGTCTCGAAAATCGTCAGAAGACGGTCCACGAGATCCCCAAAAGACCACCACGAAGGCCCACGCGGGCCCTAAGACGGCCCCAAGGACCCCCAGGACGGCCGAAGGGAGTCCCAGGAGGGCACCAAACAAACTTAAGACAAGGAATACGAACTGACATTTCGAGCCTTTCCCCTCACGATGGCCCCCAAAGCCCCCCAGAGGCCCCAAAGGCGCCCCCAACAGTCCCCGAGAGGCCTCCAAGACGTCCACCAGAAGCCCCCAAGAAGCCCCCAAGAGGCATCAAAAAGCCTCCAGGAAGCCCCCGAATAGCCCCGTGACAGACCTTCTCCTCGTCCTGCCCCTCATTACCTTCTCCTCCTGCTCCTCCTCATCCCCCTCCTCCTCCGCTTCATTCTTCGCATTCTCTCTCCTCCTCCTCCTCCTCCTCCTCCTCCTCCTCCTCCTCCTCCTCCTCCTCCTCCTCCTCCTCCTCCTCCCCCCCATGCACCCAACAGCTCTCCAAAAGGCCACTGAGAGGCATCCCAAGAGACCCTCACACTGGACAGGTCCGACCATCCCTCCAGCGGCCCCGTGCAACAACCCAACAAACCACCCCTGCTAGCTTCGAAGAAGCCCGCAAGCATTGCCATGACAAGCCTCATCCTCCTCCTGCCCCTCATTCTCCGCTCTTCGTCCCAACAGACCCCTCCTTGCTAGCTTCGAAGAAGCCCCCGAACCGCGCCGTGCCATCATTCTCTTCTCCTCGTCCTCCTCCCCCTCCTCCTCCTCCTCCTCCTCCTCCTCCTCCTCCTCCTCCTCCTCCTCCTCCCCCTCCACCTCCCTCTCCTCCTCCTTCCTTCCTCCTTTTCCTCATCCCTCTCCTCCTCCTCCTCCTCCTCTTCCTCTTCCTCCTCCTCCTGCTCCTCCTCCTCCTACTCCTCCTCCTGTACCCCCACCTGCAAACTGCAGCCTCTTCAATGAACGAGGCAGGCTCTCTCTCTCTCTCTCTCTCTCTCTTCTGGGGGCCGGCGGCAAGGCGTAAGCCAATTGTCCAAAAGTGGCTGCTGTTCAGAAGTGGCGGACAGGACAAAAGGTTTCAGCGCAGAGCTCCTATCGCCGTCAGCAGAGAATCGCCGACGCTATCAAGCCAACGACGCGATTCCACCAGACGTCATGGAAATACTAGGATCGTCCACGTACGCAGACTTCTGGAGCTCCGTATACATCGCGCACCCATCAGGAGGACTGATGACGTCTTCATGGTCGTCCTCCCCCAACAGACCTCCGACGGCAAAACCTGCTCGCCCTAAGTGCTTCACATACACGTTCAGATACAGGAAACCGCTGTCAGTGTGTCCACGAACGACTTTCAACTGAACTGGGCCGAATGAGAGCCACTCCGGGGTCTCGGCTGAACTTTGCGAAACGCTGTAGTGATACCCTCCAACTTGTTTGACCTCGGCCCATGCCCCTGTAACGTTCACCGCTTGGAAGTACATGTCCGCACAATGCCCACCCAATCGGCGCGCGTCGGCCTGCAACCGAAGCAATGCGCTGTCAGAAAAACAAAAACCACAAAGCGCTATTCCACGAAATAGAAAAAAAAGGAAAAAAAAAAAAAAAGAAAAAAAAAACGAACAAAAAAACGAAGAAAAAAAAAGAAAAAACAAAAAAAAGGGATGTTTATCAGAACGTGAATGCCCGCCTTCATCAGATCGAACCGCTCGCCATGAACGTTTTGGAAGTGGGGGTCGCCAGTGGCAGCCACGCCTCCAGCGGACCCGGCTGCGGGAGCCGTGGGGGGAAACGTCGGCTGCGGCGTCGGCCAACCCTGGGGAAACGTCGGGCTGGGCGTCGGGCTGGGCGTCGGGAAGGTCGTCGGGTATGCCGTAGGGGAGGCTGTCGGGCTGGGCGTCGGGCTGGGCGTCGGGAAAGGCGTCGGGAAGGCCGTCGGGAACGGCGTCGGGTAGGCCGTCGGGAAAAGCGTCGGGTAGGCCGTCGGGAAAGGCGTCGGGAACGGCGTCGGGTAGGCCGTCGGGAATGGCGTCGGGTAGGCCGTCGGGAAAGGCGTCGGGAACGGCGTCGGGTAGGCCGTCGGGAATGGCGTCGGGTAGGCCGTCGGGAAAGGCGTTGGGTAGGGCGTCGGGTTGGGTGTCCCCCCCCCGAAGTTGTACCGATAAGCTCCGTGCTGCGAGCAACCTCCGATTTTGGGCGACCCTGACTTGTAGGGCAAATAAAAACCGCTTGCCGAACTGGAAGGAGAGCCCCACGAACTCCCACCACCCGTTTGGTGACTGTAATCAATGGTGCTGCCGCTGCTGTAAACCTGCCAGCCTGAATTCCCATTCACGCCATTGGTGCACTCGATAGCGAAACCACCAGTCGTGCACATAGTCCCCTCCATGTCGTTACCAGAGATTGTCAAGTAATTCCCATCAGGGGTGAACGTGACAGTCTTGGTTGCCTCCCAGACGCCCCAATTTCCGCTGGTGCTGAGGGCAGTGCTGCCCAAATATACACCGTATACATAGTTGTCGATTGTAAAGTAGCACGTGACGGAACTCTTGTTCGTCACAAGCTGCGTCTGGCCCACCGCGGCCAACTGCATAAGGTTGGAATCGACGTCGTCCTCATGTGCCATGGCGGCTACGAGGAGCGCGAAGACGAGCTTCACTGGCGCGATCATCAGTCCGATCCGAACTTGCATGGAAATAGGCGCTGCGGTGACCAAAGGATGTGTGTCCTGTACTGCTTCCCCTGATGGAAAACAGCTCGAGCCCAAGGTGGCCGTGGGCCAACGCAACTGTCCGCTATGGGCACATCAAAGTGTACTTTCGTTGGCTTCGGCTAGCTCTGCGCTGGCGGAAATGAAGGACGGAAAGAACAAGTAGCAATGAAGGGGGTCCCTTCGGGGCAGCTATGAGACGCACTCCGAAGAACGCAAAGAGCTGGTAAGGAACGGATGTGCTTCGTACAGACACGCTTGAGGCAGACTCCGTCGAGCTTTCGATTGACCACCAGACCTTGGACGAAGCAGAGCAAGTGGACCCGATTATCCTGTCCCAACCCCCTCTGCCTTAGAATGGATGGCGAAACAAGAGGGTGCTCCGTGGGCACGGTGCACGTTCCCATCCGCCAGTCCCTTGGGGGCCAACGGTCTGCGAGGGTGAGGTGCCCCCTTTTTTTCCCGGCGCCGAATGCTCGAACATTTCTGGCGTCTGGCCCCGGATTGGCGGCGAGCGCTGGGGTGAAGCGCTGAGGAGACTGCCTTCTCAGAAGGCTCGGAAGTCCCCCTGGCCTTCCGAGAAGAAGTCGTCTGAGCTTTCCCCGAGCGCACAGGAAGACCTCTCAGAAGGCGCGAGGGCTTCTGAGGAGTGCCGCCGCCTTCCGAGAAGGCCTTCTCCTTCTCGCTTCCCCCCCCGTGCCCGCCGCCGACCGAGGCTGCGCTGGTCGACGAACGCGGGACAACGCCAGGCCGAAGAACGCTCTACTGCCACTCCAGGTTTCGCATCCTCCGAGTGGTGGGGGGCCCTGGCACATGCGAAGATACCGCGCAATCTCAGGTCGGGCACGTCCTCCTACAAGCGCATTGTGCGCATTGCGCAAGACGAATCAAACATGGCCAAACAACTACCGCAAACATAAAACAACATACCATTGTTTGCCTATGTTTAGAGATTCCTCCTGTGGAGGGACGTGCCCGACTCGAGCATCATCGCGTTCCCGAGAGGCCACGGCCCCCGGTGCAGCGCGCCCCGCCGGCACCCCCGAGGCCGCAAGGGCACTGTGGTGTACCGCGGGCCCGTGCTCCACACGCCACACACCTTGCAACCGGATGCAAGCATCGATGGCCCGATCCTCCACCCCTACTAACCACAGGTAGGCGAGGGAGGAGGAGGAGGAGGAGGAGGAGGGGTATATGAGGAAGGAAGGAGTGAGTGAGTCTGAGAGAGGAGGTAGAGGACCTCTCCCCTCGGTGATCCCCGCCGGGGAAGCAGTGTACACGTTGGTGGAACAGCGGCCCATCAAAGTTCGCGTTCCCGACCTCCCGAATGCCCCGCCCCGCAGCCCCTGCTTTGCGTCCGTCCCCGAAGCCGTAATCGCTTGCAGATAGCGACGAGGTCGCCCTTTCGGCGCCAACAACAACGTGGTACATTCCTTGCAAATTTTGGCGCGCTCGCGCTCCCGAGGACACAACCGTTTCAAACCACCTGGGGCAAGGTTGCCCCTTCGAAACCACAATGCCTTTCAAATCACGGCGCGCTCGCGTTCCCGAGGCCATTGCCGCGCGCTCGCGTTTCCGAAGCCTCAATGTCTTGCAACCCATGCCGTACTCGGGCTCTCGAGGTAACACATCTGTGCATAGTGCGGCGATGTTAGATAAGGATCTCCTGTGCATTGGTTGTGCATTGGCCTACGGTAGGCCTGTGCATAAGCCTGCGCATAGGCCTACCTGTGCTTCGCCCGATAGGCCCTGCAATACCATATACGTAGGCCTATTCCTCCTCTGCCTCCTCCTCCTCCTCCTCGCCGCCTCCTCCTGCCCCTTCTGCTCGCCCTCGTCTTCCTACTCGACCTCGTCGTCGAGGGCATGATGAAGCAAAACACCCTGACTTGGCCCTCCCAGTTCTCGAACAGTGTTGGCAGAAGCGGAGCCTCCACGAGTTTGATACTGAGCTTACTTCGTCGCCCCTGCTGCTGGCCGCTGGGAAAAGAGAGGACGGAACATAACGACTAAACAATCAGAGGCATGTGCCTACGCAACGCGGCGGCGGGTGTACGCAAAAGCTGCCGGACAAGCACCATACAGACGATCTGATCGGTCCGTTCGGCGCCGTGGGCCTGGCTGGGCCAGGGTCCACAGACGACGCGGGCGTAGTCTTCCAAGAGAGATGGAGCCGACCTTTGCAGGGTGGCACCCGGGACACCACCACGAGATCAGCCTCGTTGTGACAGTGGGGGCTCGACAACAGGGAAACTTCCACAAGAAACTCAACCCTAATACCCCAAGGCGTGCATTGGTTTTTGGTGAGGGAACGTCGCGCTTTCTATGGCAAAAAATCATCGAAGCCCAGGAAAACCAGGGCACCCCGGAGGCAAGCGGGGTGTCTCTTGGCATGGGTTTCCACTGTGACCCCGCGTGCTGCTTGACTGCTGTCGCGAGGGCGGGGGGGGAGTTCGGGGCGGCCTTGGGCTGTCTGGGAAGCGCGCCGAAGGGAGGCCCAAGTGCTCCGAACGCGAGCCCCTTCGCCGAGATCCCAAGGCCCCATCGAACTATACCCTGCACGAGCGCCAGTCCAAGGTGGAGACCCCAGGCACGAAGACAGTAAGGGTGTGCTCATCCAGAACTACGGGTTGCTCTGAACCTTCGTGCCGAAACCTGTCGGCGCACACTGGGTGGTCCACACTGGCCCCGAGAACTTCAGGAGGGAACCCTGCAGGGCTGTGGTCCTCTAGTTTTACTGCGGACCGCGTAGCCCAGTCTCATGTGAGCCGCAGAGCCATGCACAGAGGTATGCAGACCATTGTGCCCAGAACCTGCTTAGTGCAAATCCGCCGACCCCCGCTTACCAAGGGTGAACGGGCGTGTGAGGTGATTGGGTGTCCCCCATCCACAATTACACAATATGAATGATAATCTCCTCTCTCCCCTGACTCTGTCCATAGTCTCCCCCGTCCTCTCCGCGAACTGATTCCTACACACAAGATTTCATGACTTGCTGTTTTTTCCTATGTTGTTTCGATCCGGTCGTTCCTGGTTCTTCCACAATGGTGTTCCCGCTGCAGCGCCGCCCTCATTTCCGCGCTTCGGTCGTTCGAAATCGTGCTCCCGCTGCAGCGCTGGTCTCGTTCCCGCGCCTCCGGGCGGCACTTGGCATTCGAAAGCTCACACACCGGGCAAGCACAGTTGCGGAGGACATGGAGCTAGCATTCCAGACAGGCCCCGTCCTCTCGTAGACGGGCCACTTACCCTCCAAGTCATCCAGTGCCATGCCACGGCATGCAATGCGATGCTGTAATGTGCACCGCTGTGCGATACCATGGTTTGCGTTGCTATACTTTGTGATGCAAAATTGCACTATGCAATGCCACGCCATGCTCTGACATGATATGCTCTGCCATGCTCTTCTCCGTCATGCTTTTCCATCAATCTCGTACCCTCTTGGGATCATTGCCCTGCTCGACATCCGACTTTGCGAGTATATAGGAGATCTACGCCATGGTAAGGGATGGGAGGGAGGGGTAGGACGTCAGGTGTGACGCTAGCGCACCTAGCTTGCCCTGTCGCCCTCTCCTGGGGTCCAAAATCCAATTCTGGGTGGGGCGGGGACGAGCTCGTCAGCGAACCCCTGGGACTTCTGGATCCTCCCAACAGCTCCAAGTCGGCCCCAGAGCGCCCAGACAAAACGCCCCCAGAGTCCAAGAGAGCGTCGAGACCGCCTGGGGTAGCCCGTCGACGGTCCAAGATGGATTCACGACAGACCACGAGGCTCCCAAGACGGCCCAAGAGCGTTACCAGAGGCTCGCAGAGAAGGCCCCGAGAGGGCACAATCGCCCCTTCCCCTTTGGAAAACGCATAACTGTTTCAGCACACTCGCCTTGTTCGTCGTCAGAGCGTGTACAGCGGCCCGAGGTGTCTCAAAAATCGTCAGAAGACGGTCCACGAGATCCCCAAAAGACCACCACGAAGGCCCACGCGGGCCCTAAGACGGCCTCAAGTACCCCCAGGACGGCCCAAGGGAGTCCCAGGAGGGCACCAAACAAACTCAAGACAAGGAATACGAACTTACATTTCGAGCCTTTCCCCTCAAGACGGCCCCCAAAGTCCCCCAGAGGCCCCAAAGGCGCCCCCAACAGTCCCCAAGAGGCCTCCAAGACGTCCACCAGAAGCCCCCAAGAAGCCCCCAAGAGGCATCAAAACGCCTCCCGGAAGCCCCCGAATAGCCACGTGACCTTATCCTCGTCCTGCCCCTCATTATCTTCTCCTCCTCCTCCTCCTCCTCCTCATCATCAGCATCATCATCATCATCATCCCCCTCCTCCTCCGCTTCATTATTCGCATTCTCTCTCATTCTCCACCTCCTCCTCCTCCTCCTCCTCCCCCTCCTCCCCATGCACCCAACAGCTCTCCAAAAGGCCACTGAGAGGCATCCCAAGAGACCCTCACACTGGAGAACTCCAACCAACCCTCCAGCGGCCCCGTGCAACAGCCCAACAAACCACCCCGGGTCACCCCTGCTAGCTTCGAAGAAGCCCGCAAACATTACCATGACAAGCCTCATCCTCCTCCTGCCCCTCATTCCCGCTCTTCGTCCAACAGAACCCCTCCCTTGCTACTTCGAGAGCTCACGAACAGCGCCGTGCCATCATTCTCTTCTCCTCTCTTCCCCCGTCCTCCGTCCCCCCTCCCTCCTCCTCTCCTCCTCCCCTCCCTTTTCCTCCTCCTCTACTCCCCCTCCACCTCCCCCTCCTCCTCCTCCTCCTCCTCTTTCCTGCCTTATCCTCCTCCTCCTCCTCCTCCTCCTCCTCCTCCTCCCCCTCCTCCTGATCCACCTGTGCCCCCACCTGCTAACTGCAGCTTCTTCCACGAGCGGCGCAGGCTCTCTCTCTCTCTCTCTCTCTCTCTCTCTCTCTCTCTGGGGGCCGGCGGCAAGGCGTAAGCCAATTGTCCGAAAGTGGCTCCTGTTCAGAAGTGGCGAACAGGAC